ACTTCCCTCTCAAAACTGCTTTTGCTGTTTCCCATAGATTTTGGATAGTTGTGTTTTCATTGTCATTTGTTTCCAGGATGTTTTTAATTTCTTCCTTGATTTCTCTGGTAACCCAGTCCTTGTTTAATAGCATGCTGTTTAGTCTCCATGTGTTTGATTTCTTTGGATTTTTTTCATTGTAGTTAATTTCCAGTTTTATGCCGCTATGATCTGAGAAGATGCTTGATATGATTTCTATCTTCTTGAACTTGAAGAGACTTTGCCTATGTCCCAAAATGTGGTCTATCTTTGAGAATGTCCCATGTGCGCTTGAGAAGAATGTATATTTTGTGGCTTTGGGGTGGAATGTTCTGAAGATGTCGATTAATTCCATCTGGTCTAGCGAGTCATTTAGGATTGATATTTCTTTTCTGATCTTTTGTTTAGATGATTTGTCAAAGGGTGATAGTGGGGTATTAAAATCTCCTAGTATGATTGTATTGCTATTAATCTCTCCCTTAATGTCCTCCAGCAGTTTTTTTATATATTGGGGTGCTCCCATGTTGGGTGTATATATATTTACCAGGGTTATTTCTTCTTGTTGGATTGCTCTTTTTAGTATTATGAAGTGGCCTTCATTATCTCTTGTTATGTCCTTCACTCTGAGATCTAATTTGTCAGATATAAGTATTGCTACCCCAGCTTTTTTTTCATTTCCATTCGCCTGGAAAACCTTTTTCCATCCCTTCACCCTCAGTCTGTGTGCATCTTTCTTTCTGAGGTGGGTTTCTTGTAGACAACAGATGTATGGGTCTTGTTTTCTTATCCAATCCGACACCCTATGTCTTTTGATTGGAGCATTTAGTCCATTTACATTTAAAGTTATTATTGATGGATACTTATTTGACACCATTTTTATTCTATACCCCTGTGTTCCTTCTTTGCTTTCTATTTCTTTAATTTTACAGTAGACCCTTTAGCATTTCTTGCTTTGCTGGTTTGGTGGAGATAAATTCCCTTCGTCTGTTTTTGTCTGTGAAGCTCCTGATTTCACCTTCAGTTTTGATTGATAGCCTTGCTGGGTATAGTATTCTTGGATTCAGACCCTTCCTTTGCATGACTTTGTATATTTCATCCCATTCCCTTCTGGCCTGATAAGTTTCTGTGGAGAAATCAGTTGCTAGTCTGATGGGGGTTCCTTTATATGTAACTTTCTGTCTCTCTCTGGCTGCTTTTAAAATTCTTTTTTCATTGTTGGTGTTTACCAGCTTAATTATAATGTGCCTAGGGGTTGGTTTTATGGGGTTCATTTTGCTTGGGACTCTGCGAGCATCTTGGATTTGTGTGGGTTTTTTCTTCTCTATCTCAGGAAAGTTTTCTGTCATTATTTCTTGAAATGCGTTTTCCATGTCTTCCTCAATTCCCTTTCCTTCTGGAACCCCTATTATTCCAATATTGTTTTGTTTTGTATTGTCCCAAAGTTCCCTTAGACTTTCCTCCTGTTTTTTAATTTTTTTCCCCAGAAGTTGTTCTAATTGGATGTTTTTTTCCATCTTGTCTTCTAGCTCGCTGATGCGGTCCTCTGCTTCTTCTAATCTACTCTTGATGCTTTCTATTGAGTTCTTTACAGTAGCAATGTCATTTTTCATTTCTTCTTGGTTTTTCTTCATTTCCTCTTGGTTCTTACTCATATTGTCAAATTTGTCTTCCATTCTTTTTAGCGATCTTATGATCATTACTCTGAATTCTTGCTCAGGTAGGTTGCTTGCCTCTATCTCGTTTACTTTTTTTTCTGGTGAAGCCTGCTTTTCTTTCACATGCGGGGTGTTTTTTGGTCTCCCCATGATCTAGGATGTCTGGTTGTGTAGTTCTCTCTCTCCTGCTTTGATTTAAAGGCACAAAATACAGCACAACCAGGTACAACACACAAGGCACTGAATAGAAATGTGTTTGCGATATTAATAACCACCAATAAGGCTGGTTGTGTTGACTAGAACCCAGAATAACAAAGACATACAATCAAACAAAAAGCATAGGCAAATCAATCTTATAACAAAAAGCATACAACTTCAGTATAGTTAACATTCAACATACAACTTCAAAGAGTTAGAGAGAAAGACTGTTTTTTGTTTTGTTTTGTTTTGTTTTGTTTTTAGGACAACTGCGAGGGAGGTATGAATGGGTTTGGAGCAGGTAGTTGGAAATTAGATATATACAAGTAGGGTGAAATTTTAGGAGAGGGTAGACAGAAGGAATGGGGAAAATCTAGAGCAGGAAAGGGTTAAGATAAACGGGGTACCAAAGGAAAAGATCGGAAAGAAGGTGAAGGCATAAAGGTAGGGTTGAGATAGAATAAAGCGTTGGAGAAGGAAAGATAGATAAAGACTGTAGAACAGTAATCCTGAAATTTAAAAAAAAGTATATATATATATAATCAAATGAAGTAAAAATAATAAAAATAAACAAAAGAAAATAAGATGAAAAAGGTAAATTAATAGTAGTAATAATGTTGATTACATATACAATGTAATAATTATAAAGATAAAATCAAGTGAGGAAAAAGAAAAAAATAGTTTCTTAGTAAACGTTGCAAATAATGAAAACAAAAATAAAAAACAAAAATTTAAAAATTAAAAAAAAATTTTTTTTCAAAAATTTAAATAAAATTTGCAGTAATGAAGGTCATTCGCTTCCTCTATTGTTATGATCCAGTCCTGATTTTTAGGCAGATTTTGCTTTGTTTTTATTACACTAGAGTCAATTTGTGGATTAGCCTCTGGGGGCAGTGTTTCTAGGTTGACTTCCTAGACCTAGACTCTAGCCTCTCCAGCTTTTTTTTTTTTTTTTTTTTTTTCTCTTCCCTGTCCTCTCTGAAGCAGGAACTACGGAGGGGGGGAGGGGGCAGGTCCCAGCAACTGCAATCTCCCGCAACTCTCCGATATCCCTCCGAGGCAGATCCAAATGTGTTGCTCTTTAGATATCTCCTCTGTTAGGAGCCCCGTCCACTTTCACGGGTGACAACCGCCCAACAGCTGGGGCTTCTACTTGTAATCACTGCCCTTGTCCTCCAGCTTCCGCGTGCGCGCGCTCTGTGCGCACAGGCTTTGTTTTCGCCGCGAGTGCTCTCCACCCTCTCTCCGCAAAATCTGAGCTTTTCGCGGAGCAGTGGGGCACTCCAGTGCAGCCAGGTGTTTGCGCCGCCTGGGATCCGCGTTCTGGGGGTCACAGATGCTCGGTGGTCTCTGCGGCTGTGGATATTCAGGCCTCTGTCACGATCCTATCTTCCTCTCAAGATCTAGCAAGCTAATTTTTAAGTAGGTAATTTTGTATGGTCCACAAATGATGTTATAAATATCCAAATGGCTTCAGCTGAAAAAGGTTCCCCACCACTGGTTTAAACAGATGATTAGACATTACTGACATGTAAACTAGAAGATTGATCTGAAGAAAATACTAAGAATGCAGTACAGTGACAACAAAGGTAAACATAAAAGAGGTTAAGAGTGTTCATTGCCACATTATTCACGACAGGTAAGACTGGAAACCATCTATATGTCCACTGACATTGTGTACAGTAGAGTTGAAAGATGTGATATGTATCTAATCACATTCTAGGAGATAATCGAGAGAATAGGGAGAGGCAGTTTTCAGGGAAGTAATAGCTAAGAAATTTCCAGAATTGATGAAAAATAAATGCTAATCCACAGATTCAGAAAGCCCAACATATCCTGATATGCATAACTAAAAGGAATACTGAAACTGTGTAGAACTTCAAGAACCGAGGAGATTTTGCCCAACTGATGTGGCTTAGTGGTTGAGCACTGATTAATCTATGAACCAGGAGGTCATGATTCAGTTCCTGGCCAAGGCACATGACCGGGTTGCAGGCTCGATCCTCAATAGGGGGTGTGTAGGAAGCAGCCAATCAATGATTCTCTCATCGTTGATGTTTCATTTCTCCCTTTCCCTTCTCTGAAATCAATAAAGATAAAAAAAAAAATAAAAATAAAAAATAAAAAAGAACAGAGATGATCTTAAAAGTTGACAGAGAACTTAATAGATTACCTATAAAAGAATGTTAGGCAGTTGGACTTATAGAAGTCTTTTGAAAAGCCAAAGATGATGATAATAATAATAATATCTTCAAAGTGCTGAGAGAAAATTACTGTCATTCTAAAATTGTATACTCAGGCAAACCTTTTAAGAGCTAAATAAAGACTTTTCAGACAAAATATAAAAGAAAAAGAAATCCAAGAAAAACAGAGTTTACCTTTAACAGAGCTTTATTAAAAGAACTTCTAAAGGATATACTTAAGAAGAAGCTAAATTTTTTCAGAAAGAAGCTCTGAGATGCAATAAGGAACCTGAGCAATAAAATAGTTAACACATGGTGTGTCTGAGCAAATTTTGACTGAATGAAGCAATAACAATTTCTAATGTTTCATTTATAGGGTTTTTAAAAACCCACAAGAAAGCAGTAAAGGAAGTGTATAATTAATTGCGTAAGTTTGAGAAACCGTGACTTAGATAAGGACTTATTAACACTATGGTGTATCTCCTAGTCTTTTTCTGATCACTACCTTTCATTGAGTGACTGTGCCAGGCACTCTTCTGAGCACCTGGCCATGCATTGTCCTCACAGAAACATTCCGAAGTATCACTACCCTCTTTTTACAAGGGAGGCATCTGGCAGAGTGAGTCTGGAACTAGACAGGGGTGTCACTGCTGGTAAGTGGCAGACTCCAGATTCGAACCTAAGTCTGAGGCCTGTTTTTCTACAACATCAGGCTGTTTTCCTATTGTTAGTAGACATGCCCTTCGCACAGAAAGTAGATCTTTCCTCTTAGGGAGAGAGTTTCTCTCCTTATGCACGAGAACACTGCTGACAAACCCATCAAGCCCGTTTGGGATTTGACTTTACATCTGCAGTGTTCTCTGTGATGCAGGCATGTTTTTGTTTTTTGATTTGAAATTTCCATCCCCAAGGTTTGCTCTGCTGAGAGTTTTTGCCTTTCTCCTAGGGCCGTGTGTAAGAAGTTTGGATTGCATGTTAGTCGAATGATGCTAGCCTTCTTGGTTCTCAGCACTGGCATGTTCTGCTCATCTTCAGGTAAGTGAAGAAGCAGGTCAGGGCGTACAGGGTCACTGATATTTCACAATTGCATTTAAAGAAGGAACTTATCCAGATACAGTTTATATTTGTATAACATTTCAATAATGTGCTGACCACTCTTACCTACACTCTCTTGATTGACCTTTACAACATTAAGTATTTTCTCGTTGTTGAAACTTAGATGAAATGACTCACTAAAAGTCAAATAATTTATAAGTGGTAGAGCTGTTTTCATGAGGTTTCTTTCTGTAACATATTCTATTTTTTTGTCACTGTAAGGCTGAAAAGCACAGGCACCCTGTCTTCCTTTGTTGTTAGGGGAAGGAAAATAATTTTATTATTTTGCTCAAGAAAGTTCTTGTGCCTAAAAAAACCTGTTCTTAGTGGTTCTTTTTTCTGCCCAATATTTGCAATGTGTCCTGTAAAGGTATACATCTTCTGTTGGGATTTTTTTTCATACCAAGTTTGTAGAAATTGAGAATAAAAACCTTATTCTAGAGAGGTGGCTTTCAAACTATGCTGCCAGTGTACATTCGTGTTCTATGAGCTGAACCAAGGTAACCTGCTGCCAAAAGGCAGCCTGTTCCCAGTCTCTATATATAATTATTGCTTCTATAAATAATTATTTCAAGTTTACTTTCTGCTTGCTTGTACCAGAATCTAGTATACACATTAAATATGCACACAAATTGTATCCAGCTCAAAAGTATGTATTTTTTCTTCATTGACTATCAAAATCTGTGTTGTCTCCACACCCAGGGGACTGAGAGCCAGTGTCCTAAATGAGACTGCTCTCCCTCTGAGCTGGCAGACACTCAGACTCCTCCATTCCCCTTGCCTGTCCATTGGCAGCTGGAATCTGTAGCGATAGATAGCATCCATTCTATTTAGCATTTATCTGTGAAGGTTGTATCTGATGTTTTTTAGTTACTTTGTTACTCCTAAAATTGATTCTTCTCTGAGGGAAATACTTGGGATGTCTTTAATTTTGTAACCTCAGTTGAGGATGTTAAGGCACAGGTCACTTCAAAGCATTCTTTGAGACAAAGCTTCATCTCTTTGCCAAGGTTCTTAAATCATGTTGCCTCTTCATTGTGGTTCTTGTTGGAGTCCGTACTGACCTTTCTTCCCCAGTGCTAGGTGAAGCAGGCCTCACACAGCAGGGAGATGCAGATCTGTTTTTTGTGAAGAATTGGTGGAAACACTTTGATCAAGTGTCACTATTGCACAGATCCTGAGTACAGTCAGTCCCTGCTGTAGACACCAGCAAAGTAATGCTAGGTGGAAATAATTAGGGGGACACCTAAGGCCACACATCTATGTCAATGGATGCAGGATGGAAAGCAGGGCTGGCAACCAGCACTTGGGTGGATGCAGGATGCAAAGCAGTGTTACCATCCAACTTTTGGCCTCTGAGAAGATTTCCTAGAATTGTGGTCGGCAAACTGCAGCTGGCGAGCCACACGCGGCTCTTTGCCCCTTAATTGTGGCTCTTCTACTAAATACCACGCCCTGGGCGAGTCTATTTTAAAGAAGCGTTGTTAGAAGTAGTTTAAGTTAAAAAAATTTGGCTCTCAAAAGAAATTTCAGTTGTTGTACTGTTGATATTTGGCTTTGTTGACTAAAGAGTTTGCCGACCACTGTCCTAGAATTTCTATAGGGAACAGATTGGTACTTGGATAGAAGACTGTCAGAAGATAAACTTCTCCAGAAATAGATTGTCAGCAGTGGTTCTAAGTTTCATGAAGCATATTCACTGCCTGAAAATATAACCTGGATTATACATGGGGAACCTGGAATTCTGTACATTTTAGATTTGGGTATAGGCCGGGAGAGGAATGGCATGGTTGGTATTGTATAACTGGGCAATGTGTTGGTACCTAAAAAACAGGAGTGAGAAAATAAGAAAAACATTGCATTTCTTTTTTTAAAAGGTGTATCACTCTATGCCCACTTCTAATATAACATTGCTCAAAATACATTTCTGGTTATTGATATTTTGTAATATAGGTAAATTTTTAATAATTGATACTTAATAAATCTCAAACTCTTGTCCCTGTCCCCCCTTTTCTCATGTCTTTACTCTTGCAGCATTTCTTCCTAGTAGTTTCTGTATGTATACTACATTGATAGCCATGACTGGCTGGTATATGGACAAAACTGCCATTGCTGTGCTTGGAGTAGCAGCTGGGGCTATCATTGGCTGGCCATTCAGTGTGGCTCTTGGGTAAGAAACTAACACAACTCATCTCCCTTGTATCGCTGGGCATAGAGTATACCTTAATGTTAGGTTATCACCATATTCTCTGGATAGGATCTAAAGTTAGAGGATTTATTTGGATCTACAAAGACTGGGAAATGAAAGAATATTTCTCTTGGTGCTCATTGTTTTGATTAATCCTAATAAAAATAGTAACTGTTAAGCATCTGCTGTGTGTTAGACACTGCTAAACCACTTACAAACTTTATTCCTAAACCTTCTAACAACTCTGCAGCAGAGTCAATTATTAGTGCTTTGTAAGTGAGAAAGTAGAGTAATTTGCCTTTAAGATTATGTTTGCTTTTGGGTCCAGGCACTTTGACTGTAGCAGATGTTTTTTCCACAGTGTACCACTGTAGGCTGTGTTTTTGTCACCGAGGCTTGCAATCTGAGTTCCTTTCAGTCCTCCTTTCTTGCCCCCCGAATCATTTTTCTTATTACGTAGTGCCTGGCATTCCTTTTGTACTTTTTGTTCCCTCCAATCGGTCCTATTTGTGCTGCCTTAATTTACTGACTGGATCACTAGTAATTTAGAAAAAAAATTAGTTTGATGTTAAGGTCATTATAGTAGCAGTAATAGTAGTAGTAGTATATCTTTATTATTTTTAAAAGTATTGAATTGTTTGAGGTAAAAAGAATTCTTAATTTTCTTCTCCCCTTACACAATCTTCAAAGATAGTCACTGCTAATAGTTTTTAGTTTTGTGTATATTTTTCCAGAAATTATCTTTGCATGAATAAATGCATACACACACATATATAGACATACCAAAATTCTTAAAATAAATAGTATTATTCTATACTCATGTACATTTTCTATTGTATATAGATTTATTTTGTTCTTTGTATCTATTGCATAGCATTCCGTTATATGGCTGTTCATAATTTATTTAGCCTTTGTCTTTTTGGTAGACATTTAGTTTTCATTTTTTTGTTATTATACACATACTTCAGTGAACATTTTTGTACATGTCTATATACTTGTGGAAATTTACCTATGGGATACATTTTTAGAAAGGGAGTTCTAAGTCAGAGAATAGGCGTTTTAAATTTTCTTAATTGACTTTTAAAGGTTAGTATCTCCACCTTCAATCTTTTCTTTTATTCTGCGTATTCGCAAATTACTTTATTCTTTAAGGTTTTGTTTGTGGTTCTCTTTTATACTTTCTGCTATCTAGTCAATCATCTCTTCAGCTTCACTCATATATTCCTAGCTGCCTATTAGATCTCTCCATTCATATTTAGGACATTGAACTCATTACCTCCCTTCCGTATCTGTTTCTTTACCTCTGATTCAATCTCAGCAAATGGTACTGTCTATGCTGAGCCAGGAACCTGAAACTTATCTGTGACTCTCTTCTCTTTTCCATATCCTATTAATTTATTACACCTCTTAAGTATGTTTTGAATCTGGCTACTTTTCTTCACCTCTCACTGGTCCTGGATTACTTTGCAGCCTCCTGAATGATCTTCCTGCCTCTAGTATTGATCCTTGTAAATCTAGTCTACACATTCAAATGTTCCTTTTAGAGTTATCTTCCTAAAATGCAAATATGATTGTATCACTCCCTATTTTGTTCCAAACTATATAATAGCTCCCCCAATGCGCTGTGCCCCAGAGATTGGCAACTTGAATCCAATGAAGCAAATCCAGCTGGCCTGTTTTCATACAGTCTAAGAACTAACATTTTTACAAATTTAAAGGGTTGTTAAAAAACAACAACAACACACAGAAGAATATGCAACAGAGACTATACAAGGCTTGTAAAGCCTAAAACATATGCTGTCTGGTCTTTTAAATAAGTTTGCCCACACCTGTTTCACGGTGTGCAAATTCTAATATGACTCATAAAGCCCTTATATTTCCTCCCCTTTACCTCTCCAGCCTTCTTTTTTTAAGTTCCTCCATTTCTTTTTACTCTCTACTCCATCAACATTGAACTTTTGGAGTTCCCTAAGTACCTTGGTTGGTCTGCCTTTAGCCGAAATAAGTGATTTCAGGATTACAAGCAGTTAGCAATCTACCATCATTTATTGAATCCTTTGTGCTAGGCATGGCTGATACTGTGAAAAATAAAACAATCATGGTTCTTGTTTTTTTGGAGCTTGCATTTTAGTAGGAAAAGCAGACATTGAACAGGAAATTTAAAATGTGATGACTTATGTGTTACATGCAGTTGAGTCGGCTCTGATTCCGGCGAATGAGTGGTGTCCACAATGTCCTGACCTCAACAGCCCTGCTCAGCTCCTGTAGACTCATTCTATGGCTTCTATGGGGTTAACACATCTTCTGTCTGGTCCTCCACTTTTCTTGTTGTCTTTTATTTTCCCCAGCATTGTCTTTTCTAAAGAACCCTGTCTTACCAAAGGAGAACTATAGCACATGGAAATGTAACCATTGGGGAGGGAAAAATTGAAAACAAATGTTAATGCAAAATGTACGTAATAGAATGTGGAAATTCAAATTATAGAAGACGATGTTCTGTGACAATAAATTCTAAATAAGTCACAGAGATGTCTGGAATAGAGCCTATAGTTGACATTTGGGTGGGTTCTTGTGAATAGATTAATGTAGAGAGGGAATTCTTTGTGTTGGAGCTTGGGTAAAGGCTCAGACTAGCGTCCTCGATTTGGAAGTCATGGATATGAAGGTGATTGTTCATGCAGCAAGAGGGGAAGCACCTAATGAGAAAATGAGTGCAGAAAGAAAAACAAACTTGTTTTGGGGAGCTGTGACCATCATTGGCCACTACCATGGGATAGGGGGAAAAAGAGGCTAGAAAGGAGCATTAGAGAAGAGTCCAAAAAGGAACAGGAGCTAGCGAGTCTAAAGAGGAAGGAACAGATGCTTTGTCAAAGTGCAGCAGATAGACAAAGGAGTGAGACTTGTGCAGAGAGAGATACTGGGTGTGGCCGAGGTCAGTCTTTATAGCTTGAGGCTAGACCTTACGGAAGAAATAGTGAGGGCAATGTACACATTCCTTGCTTGAAGAACTTAAGTGAAAGGAAGAAGAACAAATGGTATTGGAAGAGAGTATATCAGAATTGAAGTAGTTTGTAATAGGATATTGCTAAAATCTTAATATATCATGAAAGGGAGAGATGAGTATTTATTTGGCAGGATGGCTACAGAACAGTAGGCTACATTTACCTTATAATTAATATATTTTATTTTTTTATTTTTTTTAAATATGTTTTATTGATTTTTCACAAAGAGGAAGGGAGAGAGATAGAGAGCCAGAAACATCGATGAGAGAGAAACATCGATCAGCTGCCTCCTGCACACCCCCTACCGGGGATGTGCCCGCAACCAACATACATGCCCCTGACCGGAATCGAACCTGGGACCCTTCAGTCCGCAGACCGACGCTCTACCACTGAGCCAAACCGGCTTTGGCATAATTAATATATTTTAAATGTCAATTAGGCTAAATAAGTATAAAACAGACCTCATTCCAGAAGCTCAATATTTATATTTCTTAGGCATCATGGGTGCATAGCACTCTGATGGGTCCTGAAGAGAACAGTGTATTTTTTAGAAGAAATCCTCTCCTGCACCACCTTTCTTCCTCAGTACAACTACTAGAGACCTGTTATTCTCAGTTCTGTACGAGGTGTGTGAATCTGACCTGCCTATATTCTCTCTGAGTATTTAATCCCCACTTTCTGTTTCTCTGTTAAATAGTTTACCTGTTGCCTTTGACTTGCTGATCATGAAACACAGGTGGAAGACTTTCCTCCATTGGTCGCTGGTGGCTCTCATACTCTTTCTGGTGAGTTTTCTCTTTTCCTTGTTTTGTTCTAAAATTGTAATGACAGCAACTTCTTTTTTAAAATTTTAATTTAATTTAACTTAATTTATTGGGAACATCTGTTTATAACATTATATAAGTTTCAGGTATACAATTTTGTAATACATCATCTGTATATTCTACTGTGTGGAAGCACCTTCTAATGTAGGAAAGAGAACATTAGGAGTTGATTCTGTTTTTTATTTTGAAGTTTGTCCTATTAGCATGTGAGAATGCTTCCAGAGCAAAACTCCGCAATTGCTATGTGTTTTCTGTCCTGTTTCAGGTGCCTGTGGTGGTCATCGACAGCTACTATTATGGGAAGTTGGTGATTGCACCCCTCAACATTGTTTTGTATAATGTCTTTACTCCACATGGACCTGATCTTTATGGTAAGGCCTTATGAGATTGGGCAAGGATTAGGAGATTGCTTAATTTGTCTGGGCTTTGAAATTTTAATTCAGCTGCCTTATTTGACTAAATAAGGCATTTCTTTGCTGGTAATATTATTTTCTTATTTTAAAAATAAATGTTGCTCGGCCGGTGTGCTCAGTAGTTTGGCATTGACCTATGATCACAGTTTGATTCCAGTCAGGGCACATGCCAGGACTGTGGTTCAATCCCTAGTAGGGGGCATCAGGAGGCAGTAGATTGATGATTCTCTCTCATCCTTTATATTTCTACTAGAGGCCCGGTGCATGAAATTTGTGCACGGGGTGTGTTAGTGGGGGTGTCCCTCAGCCCAGCCTGCACACTCTCCAATCTGGGACTCCTCAAGGGATGTCTGACTGCCGGTGTAGGCCCGATCTCACAATCCAGAACTGCTGGCTCCCAACTGCTCGCCTGCCTTCCTGATTGCCCCTAACCACTTCTGCCTGTCAGCCTGATCACCTCCTAACCACTGCCCTGCCAGCCTGATTGATGTCTAACTGCTCCCCTTCCAGCCTGTTTGCCCCCAACTTCCCTCCTCTGCCAGCCTGGTCACCCCTAACTGCCCTCCCCTGCAGGGTTGATCACTTCCAAATGCCCTCCCTTGCAGGCCTGGTGCCTCCCAACTGCCCTCCCTTGCTTGCCTGATCACCCACAACTGCCCTCTGTTGCAGGCCTGGTGCCTCCCAACTGCCCTTCACTGCTGGCCATCTTGTGGTGGCCATCTTGTGTCCACATGAGGGTAGGATTTTTGACCACATGGGGTCAGCCATATTGTGTGTCGAAGTGATGGTCAATCTGCATATTACTCTTTTATTAGATAGGATAGAGGCCTGGTACATGGGTGGGGGCCAGCTGGTTTGCCCTGAAGGGTATCCGGATCAGGGTGGGGGTTCCCTTGGGGCATGGGACAGCCTGACCGAGGGGCCTGTGGTGGTTTGCAGGCCGGCCACGGCCCCTGATGACCCAAGCTGGAGGCCCTGGTATCTGGAATTTATTTACCTTCTACAATTGAAACTTTGTAGCTTGGAGTGGAGTCAAGCCTCCTGCTTGCTCAGTGGCTAGCAGCCATTTCTGTTTGGATTTGTTTACCTTCTATAATTGAAACTTTGTAGCAGAGGCCAAGGCAGATCAGGGCTGTGGGAGCTTGGCTTCCTCCATCGCCAGGGGCAACCCAAGCCTCCTGCTCTTTCCAGCTCCATGGCTGCCACCATTTTTGTTGGGATTTATTTATCTTCTATAATTGAAACTTTGTAGCCTTGAGTGGAGGCCTGGGCCACCAGGGTGTGTGGAAAGGTTGGCTTCCTCCTGCTTGCTCCGTAACCTTAGTCATCTTGGTTGGGTTAATTTGCATACTCTTTCCTGATTGGCTGGTGGGCGTGGCTTTGTGGGTACAGTGGAGTGGTGGTTAATTTGCATATCACTATTTTATTAGATAGGATTATGAGACATTCCAGACCTGAACATGTCTTTTGAGGTCAGGGAACTAAACAAAGTTTTCATAGCTTTTAATAGCTTCTGTTTATTTAATGCCTACTATATGTCAGAAAATTTACACATACTGTCTTCTTCCCCTTACAAAAGCTCTGTGATATCATTTATCCTTATTCCCAGATGAGGATAATGATGAAGAATTGGAGAGAGACTTGCCACATAATTAAATAGGTTATCTTTCCACTAAAAATGACCTTAGCAAAACCCTGGAGTTTGGCTGAGATTTTATAGAATAGGCTTGCACAAAGGGAGTAATGGAAGATAAGATCCAGTCTACAAAATGGATGAGAAGTTGCATCTATGAAGGTCTGATGTACTGCTTTGGCTTGCAGGATGATCAGGAGCCCTGCAGAGCTCGTGTCAGAGAGCCATGAGCACTGGCAGGCTCCTCCGCCAGGAACGCTGCGCCAGATCCTTGTTGAAGAAAGGATGTTTGGACTAGGGAAAGAATACTTGACATTTAGGAAAGGTAGAGTAGTGTAGACATAAAATTGCAAAGTCATAGGCAAAATATCTCTATGGAATCAATGATCAAGAGGTGAAATTTTGATGAGGGAAAAAATATTATCCTTGTAATGTTTCGAGTTCTCAGATGTTGATGTTGTAAGCATTTTTCTGTGATGAGTGAAGAGTGGTACTCTCCGACTGGTACACAGGCCTAAGGAAGGCAGGGGAGGACGGGTACAAGAAATGCTTTTCCCTCAAAAGTAGTATAGTCTGCTCAACAGTGCCATTCTGAGGTTTAGGATCTCCCAGCCTGTTTGTGTGTTTTATCAACATCTTTCAGATCACTGGGCAAGGCATTGCAGAAGGTAAAATGAAGGTGCTCTATTAGGAAACCCACAGTTTTCCATTCTTGCTGTAGCAGAGGATGAAGCCCCAGTGGAGTCTTTTGAGACCAATTTGGATTTAACTGCCAGCTGGAACGCTCTCTGAGCCTTCACTCTTTTTTGTTGAACGCTGGTGGCTTTTTCCTCTTGGTGTTTCAAATTTGACATTTAATAAGGATGATTTACTATAATTTTCTTTTTAAAAATATATTTCTATTGACTTCAGGGAGGTAGGGAGGGGGAGAGAGAGAGAGAAACATCATAACAAGAGAGGATCATTAATGAGTTGCCTCTTGCACACCCCAAGCTGGAGATCAAGCCCACAACCCAGGCATGTGCCCTGATGGGGAATTGAACTGTGACCTCTGGTTCGTAGATTGATGCTCAACCACTGAGCCACAATGGGTGGGCAAATTTTCTTCAGTTCTATAAAATTATAAGCCTACAAAGCGGTTCCCTCTTATTCAAACTATGGAACAGTAAACATCTTTTCTTCCAGCCTCTCAAGCTCACTTTAGCTCATTTGAATGAAAGGAAGTGATTTTTATAAAGAGGGAGGTTGGTGAGTCACTCCCTACAGAGACCCTGCTTCCAGCTGAAGCCAGTTTGGCTCAGTGGTAGAGCATTGGTCTGCGGACTGAAAGGTCCCAGGTTCGATTCCGGTCAAGGACATGTACATTGGTTGAGGGCACATCCCCGGTGAGGGGTGTGCAAGAGGCAGCTGGTCGATGTTTCTCTCTCATCGACGTTTCTAGCTCTCTAGCTCTCTCCCTTCCTTTCTGTAAAAAATCAGTAAAATATATTTAAAAAAAAAAAAAAAGAGACCCTGCTTCCAGCTTTCTTTCACCTTGCCTTTTGCATTAGTTCAATGCTTAGCTTGTCATTCTGATGCAGTTTTTCTGCATAGTTCAGCTTTTATACTTTCTGAGCAGCAGCAATGAATATCTCCCTCGAGATAAAAGTATTTACTCTTTTCTCTATTAAGGCAGATGTCTCATCAAGTAGTGGAGGACACTGGCTATCAGAAATCACTATTTTTGTCCTCTTTTGCTCTTGTTTTTAATACTGTTGTCACTTGAACCTTTCCCACTCTGGGCTTATCCCCCAATTTTTGCTCCATCTTTCATGGAAGTAACAGCCTATTATGAAATATTCACAGGCTGGCTGTGAACTTGTGTCCATGATCAGTGAACACATAAAAATAGAATTTAGCAACTTAATACTTTTAACTGTGCATCTCAGAGTTAATATATCTAGGTAAAAATATAGTCAGCCCTACAGGAGGGTATAGTAAGTTGTAGTAGAGACAAATATTTTCTTGAAACTGTTATGGTCACTGAAGAGGGAACACATGGCACCAAAGGTGGTAAAGAATTATAAATTTTTTAGATAATCTGGAAGGCAGGTGGGCTGAGCCTGCAAATGGCACCAATACCCAGGGAAGGGCAGTCAGATTTTAAAGGACTCTAGGTGGGCTTTTTCAGTGGAGAATTCTCTGGGCGGGTCCAGTTCCTGAGCAAGTCCAGAGGGGAAAGTTAATGGTCTCAGTGATAAATGGAATGGTGAGCCGAGGTTTTTTCCTCGGGATTATGTCCCAGGATGCCAAAAAATGAGCACTGTGGACCAGAAGATTTAAGCAAAAGTGTGGAAAATTTATTACAAGCAGATTCAGACTCCCCACATGAGGACAGGGGAGGGAGGAGGATGGTGGTGTCCAATAATGGGTGTCCCCTGAAGCCTTGTGGTCTAGAGGCATATATTTAAGGGAACACAGGGTTGGACTTGCCTCCTTCCTTAGGGTACCTCACATCCCTCTTATTCCTCCCCTTAGTGTTAATAGTGTTATGGGTTTGGTTTCTAGTCTTATTTTGCTGTGCAAGCTGCAAAAGTATCAGGTTTTTCTGACTGTTCTCTGCCTTCTGATTACCCTTTTAAGCAGTGCTGATTGCAGGAAATGGCTGTGGTGCAAGGCGGTGCCACAGCACAGTGATTAGAACCCGTGGTGTCACTCCCTGCCTGATTGAAGTAATTACACAGAGGGGAAGAGCAGATGGAATGCTCCCAAACGTGCTTCTCATCATTTGGGTTTAAGGATTTTGAGTTAAAGAATCAAAGTTAATGTGAGTTAAGGCTTGTGTTTTTAGTCATTTTGTTTTATTCTTTTTTTTTTTTTTAAATATATTTTTATTGATTTTTTACAGAGAGGAGGAGAGAGGGATAGAGAGCTAGAAACATCAATGAGAGAGAAACATCAATCAGCTGCCTCTTGCACACCCCCTACTGGGGATGTGCCCGCAACCAATGTACATGCCCTTGACCGGGATCGAACCTAGGACCTTTTAGTCCCCAGACCGACACTCCACCACTGAGCCAAACCGGTTTCGGCTTGTTTCATTCTTAATCTTTAAAACTTCTGGGTCTCTGACTGTTGTTTTTCTAAGGAAAATAGGTTTTGCTGTTTACCAAACACAAGGTCCCCTGAATTCATGACTATAAAATAGTGGTTGAGCACATTAAGGGGAAAGATACTAGAATGTAAATGGGATGAACAGGTGAGAAGGAAATGGAAAAGGCCCCAATAGCTCAGTTCTGCAAGACTGCCCCTCCCCACCTCCCTTCAGATGCCAATGGGAAGTCCAGGTTGTCACCTGTACTTCTGACCCATTGGAAGTTCCAACAGCCCCCTCCTTAGGTTCAATTAATTGGTCAGAGCAGCTCACAGAACTCTGAGAAACATGTACATAGTTTACCAGTTTATTATAAAGAATACAGATGAATAGCCAAATTCAAGAGATGCATAGATGTATGAGGGAAGCCCCTATGCTATCCCCACACCGTGTGCTCACCAACCTTTTAGATTTTTATGGAGTCTTCATTTAGACTTGATTGATTGATTGATTGATTGATTAAATCATTGGCCATTGGTGATTGAACTTTATTGCCAGCCCTTCTCTCCTCCCCTGAGGTCAGAGTTCAGGGATAGGACTGAAATTACTGACCTCCTAATCACAAGATTGGTTCCCTTGGCAGCCAGTCCTGAACCTTAGGTTATTTAGGGGCTTTCCTAAGGTCTCCTAATTAACATAACAAAAGACACTTTATCACTCTCATCACTTAGGGAATCCCCAGGGTTTAAGAGTTCTGTACCTGGTTGGGGGATGAAGAACAAACACAGATTTCTTTTTTTTCCCCTCTTTTGTTTCTTTTCTTTTTTAATCTTTGTTGTTCAGATTATTACAGATGTTCCTTCCCCCCCCCCCATAGCTCCCCTTCACCTCTACCCCCCCCCCCCACTGTCCTCATCCATAGGTGTACGATTTTTGTCTAGTCTCTTCCTTTTCCCCCACACTCTTTCCCCCCAAGAATTATAAGTCTACTCCCTTTCTATGCCCCTGATTCTATTATACTCACCACTTTATTCTGTTCATCAGATTTTTTATTCACTTGATTTTTAGATTCACTTGTTGATAGATATGTATTTGTTGTTCATAATTTTTATTTTTACCTTTTTCTTCTTCCTCCTCTTCTTAAAGAACATCTTTTAGCATTTCCTATAATACTGGTTTGGCAGTGATGAACTCCTTTAGCTTTTTCTTATCTGTGAAGCTCTTTATCTGAACTTCAATTCTAAATGATAGCTTTGCTGGTTAGAGTAATCTTGTAGGTTCTTGCTATTCATCACTTTGAATATTTCTTGCTACTCCCTTCTGGCCTGCATAGTTTCTGTTGAGAAATCAGCTGACAGTTGTATGGGTACTCACTTGTAGGTAACTGTTTTTCTCTTGCTGCTTTTAATATTGTCTCTCTGTCTTTTGCTCTTGGCATTTAATTATGATGTCTTGGTGTGGTCCTCTTTGGATTCCTCTTGTTTAGGGTTCTCTGTGCTTCCTGGACTTGTAAGTCTATTTCTTTCACCAGATAAGGGAAGTTTTCTGTCATTATTTCTTCAAATAGGTTTTCAGTATCTTGTTCACACTCTTCTTCTGGCACCCCCATAATTCGGATGTTGGTATGCTGGAAGTTGTTCCAGAGAATTCTTACACTATCTTCATATTTTTTGATTCTTTTTTCTTTTATGGATGGGTGTGTTTTGCTACTTCGTATTTCAAATGTTTGACTGCTTTTGGAACTCTGTATATTATTCTTTATTTCAGTCAGTATATGCTTAATTTCTAATTGGTCCTTTTTCATATCTTCGAGGGTCTCACTAAATTTATTGGCAGCTTCTAGAAGATTCTTGAAAAACCTTATAACTGTGGTTTTGAACTCTATATCCAGTAGTTTGCTTTCCTCCATTTCTGTCATTTGTGACCTGTTTCTTTGTCTCCACATTTTGGGCTGCTTCCCTGTATTGATAGAGTGGCTTTGTGTGGTAGGTGTCCTATAGGGCCCAGTGGCCCCAGTTACCTGAGGTGGACACACTTGATGCACCCCCTTTGTGGGCTGTGTGCACAGTTTTGTTGTAGTTAAGCCTTTCTTGTTGTTGGTATCACTGGGAGGAATTGACCTCCAGGCCAATTGGCTGTGAGGATCAGCTGTGTCTATGCTGGGAGAACTTCTATGCTGGAGAAACTCTTATGGGGCAAGACTTGCTTTAGTGGAGCTTTGGTGCTCACTGAGTCTGCCCCTTGAATGTGTCCCTTACGGATCTGAGGAGTTGTAATCTGGATGGTCCCACTCTGACCCCTGGGTACACTGGCTCTTGGATCTCAAAGGAGGTGCAAATTTAGCCTCTGCCTGAGGCCACCCAGCAGGAGCTACCAAGAGATCTTCAGATTCCTCTTCTTTGTTTGGGGTTTGGAGGAGCCCAGATGAGGCCCAGCTGTGAAGCAATGCAAGCTGCTGTGGGGCTTTGGGCTTTCTTTTGGAGATTCTGGAGCTCTCTGACCCAGCTGCAGTTTGTTAGGTAATTTTAGATTGCAAAGGGCCAGGCAATTCATATGCAAAAGCCTCTGCAGGCAGCTTGGATTGGGCAGGGTCTCAGGAGATCAATAGGGTGGAATAAACAGCTATGGCTGATCCTCAGCCCTGCCTTAAGAAGCCCCCAGGTCTCAGTGTCCAGTGGTAATCACTGCAAGCACCTCTAAGAGTAAGTCGCCCTCGAGTTCCATCCGAAGCCAGACAGTTCAGTTTCTCCCCGTATGAGTCTGGGTTCCCAGAATCTTGCCCAGAACTGGAGTTCGGAGCAGTCAGGAACTTGTGTCTCCCTCCTGATTGAAAAAGACAACCACGTACTCAGTTGCCAGCCCTTTCTGCATGTGTGCACCTCTGTATCTCTGCACTTTACTTCCGCAGCTCCTCTGAGTCTCAGTGTGCTTCTCTCTTTCCTTCTAGTTGTAGAATTTCCACAAAGCCAGCCTTCCTGTGGTTCTGGATGATGTTCATTTTGTCTTTTAGTTGCAGTTTTGAAGTGGTTGTGTGAGGCAGCAATTTCAGGTGTTTACCTTTGTTGCCATCTTAGTTTCTCACCAAAAACAGATGTTTTATACATCAGAATATCACTACTAACCTATTTAAATTATTTTGTTGTTCTGAAAAAGTATCAGTCCCATTTGGGCATGGATATTTGTATTTGATATACTGATCCATGCAGAAAATACAGCTTAATATTTTGAAACTTGATTTCTGTCTAAGTCAAGACCAATCCCATTGTCTTCCCATCTTCTGTTCTGTGAGAATGGAAAGAGTGGGCTGTGCAATATCTTTAACTCAGGGCATTGGATCATCAGCATTACTCAAATGAAGATTCTTATGAGCCAACACTGTAATAGGTATCAAAGGCACACACTAATGATTCCTTATGTCTTTGTCCCCCTCAGGTACAGAACCGTGGTATTTCTATTTAATTAATGGATTTCTGAATTTTAATGTAGTCTTTGCTTTGGCTCTCCTGGTCTTACCACTGACTTCTCTTATGGAATACCTGCTGCAGAGATTTCATGGTGAGTGGCACAAAGGCTGATAGGTTTTCTGGGAGGGAAGAGCAGGTAACAATGTAGACCAAGAAATAAAAAATTGACAAAGATTTTAAAAAAAATTTTATTCTATTTATTTTGCTTATTTATTCTCCATTTTCTCCCTATGGAAATGGTTGATTTATTGAATTTTCTATCTGTATGTGTGGATTATTTAGGCCTGGCCCCTGTGAAGATGTGGTGAATAATTGCAAATTAAATTGACAGGGAAGAGTTTTATATTCCTTAAGTGAGGCAGTCAGTATAATTTATAGAACCATCCAGGGAGCCAAAAAAGCTTATAAAATCTCAGAAGGTAAGCCTATTTGATTAAGTCTTCTGTTTTTTAAAGAAGTGTTAATTTGGTAGATTGTTTAAGATAATCAGTGCTAGAGGTAAACATACTTTGGGAAATTACTTCCACCCAAAATCTGGAAACTAAGCAGTATAGGGAGTCCCCCAACTTAGATGCTGAAGTGAGAGAAGCTTTGAACTCTGCTCTTTTGTTCCATTTTGCTTCTCTGCCTTATTGTGAAAAGTTTAGGTTGTCATTTGTTTTGCTTGCTCTACTTCACAGCCAGCATTTTCTCAAGTCATGCTTACGATATCTAGTGCTATAGTTGCTCTTATGGAAAACTGATTTGAGCAGAAATTAAAATGTGATTTGGAAAGACTTTTATTTCAGACATTTCAGTCTGATTTGGTTGCCATGTGATTGATCCCTCCACTCCACCTCTTATTCTGCTTTTCTACTATTAATGGTTCAGGAAGAGTTTACTGTACTATAGTATTAGAATAGGAAAGCAGCCTTCATAGTCACTTTTGTGTGAGGACTTTTGTTTTAATATAACCATAATGCCATAACAAAATTAAGAAATCGCTTAATATCATCAAAAATCAATTTGATACTCAGATTTTCTTCATTATCTGAAAAATAGTTTTTTACAGTTAGTTTAAAGGAGGATCTAAACCCAAGTCATATACTGAATTTAGTATTATGTTTCTTAAGCTTTTTAAAAGGTTCCCCACTCTCAACTATTTTTTCCTGAAGATTTCTAAGGAAATTAGATTGTTCATATTGATATTGTAGTGTTTCACATATGTATTTTTATTATTACAAAAATAATTCATGCTTGTGGAAAATTTGGAAATGCTTGTAATGTACATATAAAAACAGTATCATAAGCTGTTTTCTACAGTATGAATTCAATTTTGGTTTAAAAGTGTATAATGACACACATATCTACCTACCCAGTTTCCCCGAAAATAAGACACTGTCTTATATTAATTTTTTCTCCCAAAGTTGCACTAGGTCTTATTTTCAGAGGATATCTTATCTTTCCATGTGCTAGGTCTTATTTTCGGAGGATGTCTTATTTTCGGGGAAACACGGTAGTAAGAAAATAAGTGGCTTCTGTTTTTATTTATACTTCTTTGTCTACTTTATAATAAGAACAATACTTTTTACAAAGAAAAGACAGAAAAATATAAATGATCCATTTATTCCATCTTGCAGTGCAACTGTGGTTATGATTTTGCATATTTTATGGGGTATATTTCAAATTTTTAGGCTATATTAAAAATATATATTTGTTTGCTTTTGAGATACAGAAGAGAAAAAGATTGTTTACTTGTACTTATTTTTTTTTAATTAAGAAAATTTCAACCTAAACTATTTCCTGGGAAGGGATAAATTCTAAATTAATAACATGAAATCTCATGATAATATCTTAGAGTTGAAAGTTTAAAGATAAGTTTGTTTAAAAATTTTTATCCCTGATGAGTTTCTTCAAAAATACAGATAAATTAGTCCTGGCTGGTTTGGCTCAATGAGTAGAGCGTCAGCCTGTGGACTGAGGAGTCCCAGGTTCGATTCTGGCCAAAAATACAGATAAATTAGGAGTGCTAAATTAGGCATCCTAAAGTAGATTTAAAAATTTTTAAAAATCATACTTTAAAATTATTTTTAAGTTGGATCTTAAGGACAATTATTTCATCTTAACTTGCTCATTACAGACAAAATGGACACTAGGGGGCGCTATCGCCTATTTGCCTGTGATTCTATGTACTGCTCATTATCATTAACAGAAGCACAGGAGATACCTTCAGGCTTATCACTAAGGATTCATGTACCTACCGACAGCAACTTTCTAGCATGTGCTTGGTCTTAGTGTTCATTAAATTCCTTTAATTCTTTCATATGCTTTAAGTACACTTTGTTTTCAATTTTGGGATTCAAAGTAGATGGATATTTGCAGAAGAGAAAAGAAAACTTGATCAGTAAACTTCCTTTAAGAGTGTTTTTATAAAAAGAAATAATTGCTTTCTTCAGATTATTCAAGTATAACCTCAAATTAAGGTCTCCAAATCCCTGTGCTCTTTTTTCTCATAGCTACTGTCATCAAGTATTGCAATTACATTTTTACTAATTTGCCTCTTTTCCAAGACTATGGTTATTTAATGGTAGAGACTGTATTCTAAAACCAGAAGTTGATACAGGAAGTGTCTTTGATAAATATTTGGTATAGTAATCTGATTGGGGAAAATTTTAATACCAAATAAAATACTTTCAGTTCTATAAAAAAAAAAAGAGTGTTTTTATATTTGCTTAGAAACAAACTCTTTGTTATTTGTGATTTAACAAAAACAGTGATGTGTTTAAGAATCCTGCTCTTTCCCCCCCCCCCCCAACATGTAGCTATTTAAACTGACCACTGGTGTATAAGTAAGAAGAGTAACATATTTAAAAGAACATAGGAATTAAAACCCAAAAAATGAGTTTATGTTATGCTTTTGTTTAATCTCAGGAACCTTTAGTCTGAGTGGCAGGACTCATTAGAAAGAGAAGGCTTTTCCCCTTCATTCAGTGTACAAGTGAGGCTCTATTGCCCATTCACCTGACTTCCGTTTATTCTAGCCAGAACCAGTATTGTGCCTCCCTTTCCATGGTGGATCTCCTGGGAGAGCTAAAGAGTATGTCCCTCTTTTTACTAAACTCCTTTACACATCGGAGAAAGTGTGAGCACAAGAAGTGAAACATTTTATGGGGTGCCCTAGAGCATATTTTCATGTTTGAAATCAAGAGAACATTGAAACTCAATATGTTGTTTTCTAATATGGTGAAAGGCGGATATTTTTCTGTGTTTTACAGTCCAGAATTTAGGCCACCCATATTGGCTTACCTTGGCTCCAATGTATATTTGGTTTATAATTTTCTTCACCCAGCCTCACAAAGAAGAGCGATTTCTTTTCCCTGTTTACCCACTTATATGTCTCTGTGGTGCTGTGGCCCTTTCTGCACTTCAGGTGAGTTTCAGGGATATATCTGCTTCATTCTGCTTCACTTTTCGAATTGTCCCTAAAGCTTACCGGCAAATTACAAAATGCTTCCGCTGGAGATTTTTTATCATACACTAAACCTGATACAGGTTATGTTATTAAGGCTTTTTGTAGTCCTTGCTTAGCTGTTGCATGTACTCTTTTTTTGCCGATTACATATTTGCAGTGTTGACTTGTGGGTTATTGGTCTCTGTTGCCAATAAGAATCCAAGTATTTTTATTTTTTTATTATTTTTTAAATTTTATTTATTTTTTATTAAGTTATTATCTGTGTACATATACCATTGCCTCCCCCCATCCCCTATTCATGCCCTCCCTCCCCAGAGTTTTGTGTCCATTGGTTGTACTTATATGCATGTATACAAGTCCTTCGGTTGATCTCTTATCTACCCCAGATCTCCCTACCCTCCCCACTGTAATTTGACAGTCTGCTTGTTGCTTTACTGTCTCTATATCTATCTTTTGGTTCTTCAGTTTATAATGTTCTTTATCATCGATAAATAAGTGAGGTCAAGTGGTGTTTCTCTTTCATTGTCTGGCTTATTTCACTCAGCATGATGTTCTCCAATTCCATTCAGGTTGCTGCAAATGATGAGGATTTCCTCTTTTTTATGGCAGCATAATATTCCATTGTTGTAGATGTATCATTGTTTTTTTGATCCAATCATCTGCTGATGGACAGAATCCAAGTATTTTTAAATCATTGTATGGGCCTCCCATAGAATGGTGGTACCTGAGCAGAGCTAATAGAATGTCTGCTCTTCAACAGTGAGATCAGAATAAAACTTGCTCAACTGTTTGAAATAACATCAGGCAGTTAAATCCAGTTTAGCTCAATTCCCTGTTAGAATTAATCTTGAATATCTATTTATGGCCTCAGAAGCCTCCAGATTCTTTTTTGACCACTGCTACCTTTTGCAAGTGACAGGAAAGAATAATTAGAGTAAGAGAGGTTTTCTCTTTAACAGATTTATGGAGATATAAACCATACAGTTTACCCATTTAAAGTATATAATTCAGTGGCTTTTAGTATACCCACAAATATGTGTAACCATCAGCACAGTCAATTTTAGGACATTTTCATCACCTCAGAGACTGTACTCTTTCACTGTTGTTACTCCCCTTTCTCATATCTCCCCAGCCATAGCTACCATTCATCTGCTGGACATTTCATATTTTTTTTAAAGTAAATTATTAGCATTTAAAGAACTAAATAAATATCCAAATAATTTTCCAATGAAGCTACTGAGATTTCATTCTTGAGAAACCCTCTGGCCAGGCTGACCCTAAGATAGTTTTTATCTTAGAATTTGGAGTGGGTACCTCACTAAATGTTTGCAAATTCTGAGACCTTTGATAGAAACTCTTTTGCAGCTTTTTCCATCTTGGTTTGGCTATGGTGTCTTCTAATTATGTACACTCTGCAAGGTATATATTTTTTTTCAGTAGTTTTCTTTCCTTCTAGAAATGCTACCACTTCGTGTTTCAGCGGTACCGCCTAGAGCATTACACTGTGACCTCAAATTGGCTGGCATTAGGAACACTCTTCCTGTTTGGACTCTTATCCTTTTCTCGCTCGGTAGCCCTGTTCAGAGGTAGGTGACTGAGAATGTCTTAACCCATACTCATGAGGCAATTCATTTTGGGATTAGCTTACTGTGTGATTGTTAGTCAGCTTAAGCTGGGAGGAGGACTTTTCTATAGGGTGGCCTGTGGACTTAAATATGAAGACTGGGATGTGACTCTTGTTTTTTAGGATTGAAGAGAAGATTGAGAATTCCTTTTAATGTGATTACCTGTAATTTTTTTTCTCTTTTCTTATTGACTTTTTTCCCTTCAAAGCATGCCTTTTCCTTTTAAAGGGTGAATTAAGGAAGTTTTAAACTTAGGGTTAGATTTGGGGCTCAATTCTTGATATTATACGTTTTCTTATAATCTTTAATTTCACGTAGATTAAAATGGGACATTATCATGCACCGTAAGTAAATATCAGAACCTCATGTTACTCATCTTTGGCTTTCACAAAATTTTCAACATCTTTCTTTCTAGGGTATCATGGGCCCCTTGATTTGTATCCAGAATTTTACCGAATTGCTACAGACCCAACCATCCACACTGTCCCAGAAGGCCGACCTGTTAATGTGTGTGTAGGAAAAGAGTGGTATCGATTTCCTAGCAGCTTCCTTCTGCCCGATAAGTAAGTTGTCCTTTAATCCAAGTTTTAAATCAAGGAGTAAAGTAGCAAATCTATGCAGTGTCTTCTTAATTTTTCTTTTTTTGGGGTATTTTTCACAATAAGTTTTTCTATTACTATCTTAGAGAGCTGTGGGACCTGCACTGGGCACCCATTGCTTGTGTTCAGTGGACCGAAAGCTGGGTTTGGTTGTGCCCCTTGCACTGCCCTTAACCACAGAGCTCTGGGGAATTATAAAACCATGTTGGGCCCTGGGATCCTGCCAGTGGATCCTCCATATTTTTAAATTTCTATAGGGATCTGATATCAATTCACTTCTAAAAGTGGTCTAGAAACTTGAGCAAGAAGAGTGTTTTTATAGAGAAGAAATGTTTGTCATCTAACAACACTGGAAGTTTTCCACCAATGATGGACACTAGGGGGAGCTGTGGTCAAGACATCTGTGCCACTTCCCTTTAAGCTATCTGCATTAGGTTCTGGGATTCCCTGTATTTGCTTAATTTGGATGGAGAAGAGTCCCATTTGGGGAAAAGGGAAATCAGGTTAAGAGTCATTTTCCTCCATTTGGGGACTGGTGTGTCTTGTGCTTGGTAAAGATCCTGTTATCAGCCAATAATAATTAAATTAATACTTGTTTTTTAAATGTTAACTTTACCTTTAGTTATAAAATAGTTTCATAACTAAAGATTTTTTTTTTTTTTTTTTTTTTTTTTTTTTTTTTTTTTTTTACTTCTAAAGATATTTTTTTAAGATTACTTAGGAACAAGTCCTTCTCTCATAGTGAGTCTTTACATTTCACTCTTTTCTCTATATACCCAATGAATTTTCTTTAATCTGAATAAGGGGTAATTAGCAATAAACTGGTGTTTCTCTGGTTGTTTGATGGTATGAATATTTAGTTACATAGTTATTGCTCAGAGTTGGTGAAATGGGTTAAGAGACCTCTAGTTTAACATTTCTCAATGAGTTTGGACTGAGTTGTGACCTCTGCCTCTATGCTCCCGGGTTGAGGTTTTAGTAGAAATATCTTTTTTCCAAGTGAAATGAAATATTTTTTATGTGATTTGGGGGGGGGGGGGCTTGTTTATTTAAAGAAAATTAGCAATATGAGCCCCCTGTGTTTTTCTTATTATCCTTATTTGTTTCTGACAGTTGGCAACTTCAATTCATTCCATCAGAGTTCAGGGGTCAGTTACCAAAACCTTTTGCGGAGGGACCACTGGCCACCCGGCTTGTTCCTACTGACATGAACGACCAGAACCTAGAGGAGCCATCCAGATATGTAAGGGGAACATTCTCTTTTTACTACTTTGAAAAGCTGTCGGCAAACATATTAGAACATAGATAAAATGTGGATTTCTTATAAAGTGTTTTCTTTAGGGTGAGGGCTATAACAACTTCGTTGAGAAAAAATGAATAGGATCACTTTTATTTTTCAAATTACCACCTTTATTTTCTATGTAAGACATATAACTCAATATATTTTCTGATCTGGGCTGGAAATATTTATATGTTGAATTTGAATCATCACTTGAAAATACATTCTGAAACTCTTTCATTCCCTGACCCATTAAAATACTTGGTGGGGAACTTTTAAGTTATCAGCAGACCTTTTACCTAACTAGAAGTATATCCTAGTTTCAGTAAACGGACAGTCAGTGAGGGCTATTTTCACAGCCCATCCATGGAGCTATGTCTCTCAGGACTGCACTCTTCTACCCACTCATTTTCATCACTCTGAGATTCATGGTGGGTTTTATTTCAGTGTCTTTGAAAGATGGCACTATTTGGTATCAGTAATATCCTTGATTGTGGAAAAGGTGAGAGCAATAAAGAAAGTACTCCTGGTTCCCATAGTCAGAAAATATTATTTTATAGAATTATTAGAAAGTACATTTTTGGGCAACATTGAACAATTTAAATGTCAAATACATTTTGTTTAGGTTTTCTTATGTCATATACTTGAAATGTGAAACAACAGATCCCAGTTCCCTTCTGACGTACACTGGCAGCCACATCTGGCCTTTGTCTCCCGGCTGGGGCTGGTTAGACTTCCAAGGAGACCCTCAGGGCTTATGAATGAGATTCTTGTTGTGTGAGCGTTAGCTATAAGCTATGAAAGTAAACGTCATAAGGCACACACTGGGTCTGGCCGTCTGAGAAGGTAAGATATGTATGTCCCTAAGAGGCTTGTATTAGAATTTCCTTCTAATTTGAGCCTCTGATTCCCGTAGCAATATCAAGTAGCCCTGGGCAGGGTAAACTTATTGGTCATTCTCATTTTAGCTGAGAGCAGGCTTTGATGTACAGGGGACCACATTACAGTGGGGACACTGGATACTTAAGAGTGGGAGAATACACTCTGATGGGGAAGATCACAAATTGAGTGATATTTTAGGAAGAGCTAGCAGAGGGTAGTCAAAAAAGAGCATGGGCTTTGGAGTCAGTTCTGAGTTCAAATCCCAGTTCTGTTGTTTATCTTGATGATCTTTGGCAAATTAGTTAACTTTTTTGTTTAACTAATTTCAGTTTCTATCTGGAAAATGGTGGTAATGACGCCTACTTTGGAAGATGATTATGAAATCAGATATTATATCTCTCTGATATATTAAGCATAGTGTTTGATACGTTGATTTTTCCACAAATGTTTTTATTCAGTTAATGGCTTATGAGATGGATTAGATATAAAGGAACCACTTAAGAGGATTTAAAATATGCGTGAATTTATCTCTCCTTCCTTAGTTTTATTGTTCCCTAACCTGTTTTTTATTTCAGTCCATCCGGACTCATCATTGCCTTTTAAAAGAATATGAAATGTTCACAAAGCTAGATTATATGTTCAACTATAAAAGAAATCTCAGTACACTTGAAATTAAGGAAATCATACACATTATGCTTATATTTAAAAATATCAATAAAATTAGTTAATCTTAGTTAGACTGATCTAGAACAAATTACCAATATAAGAAGTTAAAGTGGAAATATCATTATAGAACCTACAAGCATTTGTGTAATATTAAAGAAATATTATGGAACATGGCGGTCAACAGGATGGCAGAGAAGGCGAGAGTATGACGGAGTAAAGAAGTGAGTGGCGTGTGTGGACGTGTGTGGTGTGTGTATGGTTGGGAGAAGGACAGATAGTTATCTCAGGAATCCCATGGACTGGCAGATCGGGCTCACCTAGACGGGGGCCCTTGCTACCCTGCGGACACCCCTAGGCTGACTTGCCTTTTCTATTCTGATGACTTTGCTTATCTGAATGACCATACTTACCTTCCTTCTAATACTGGCAACACTCTTCTTCTCTGAAATCTTTCCCAACTCTAAGTCCATAATGAGCAATCCTTCTTAAGTCCCTTAAATATTTATCTGCACAGCTCATTTAGCCATTTAATTTTGTTATCTTATGTTATTGAAATATTTCTGATATGTATGTAATATTTTCCCCCATCAGATAGTAACTGCAATAGAATCACTACCTTATTTTTTTCATATTCACTACAGCATCTAGGATAATACTGTATATCTACTAGTTAGCCTATGCATCATTTGTTTTTAAAATATATATATTTTATTTATTTTTTACAGAGAGGAAGGGAGGGGGATAGAGAGCTAGAAACATCGATGAGAGAGAAACATCTATCATCTGCCTCCTGCAAAACCCCTACCTGGGATGTGCCCACAACCAAGGCACATGCCCCTGACCGGAATCGAACCGGGGACCCCTCAGTCCGCAGGCCGATGCTCTATCCACTGAGCCAAACTGGTTTTGGCATATACATAATTTCTTGCTTGAGGGATGAATGTTGATCATCGTTGGGCTAGTGATGTAAAGAAAGCTGACTATAAAATCTCTAGTGGCCTTGTGTATATTTCTTAGAATTTAGGCACTTGTTGTCTCTAGTTAGATCTTATTTCCATGTTCTCTGTCACCAGACACGGCTAAATTTGACTAAGCTGCTCTATATTAGCAATACTCAGAAGGTGAAGTTTTTGCCGAAACCGGTTTGGCTCAATAACCAGAGCGTCGGCTTGGGGACTAAAGGGACCTGGGTTCGATTCCGGTCAAGGGCATGTACCTTGGTTGCGGGCATATCCCCAGTAGGGGGTGTGCAAGAGGCAGCTGATCGATGACTTTCTCTCATCGATGTTTCTAGCTCTCTATCTCTCTCCCTTCCTCTCTGTACAAAATCAATAAAATATATTAAAAAAAAAGAAGAAAAAAAAAAAGAAGGTGAAGTTTTTTAGAATACTTATAGGAATCACCAAAATGCTGATGATCAAAGCAGGGACAAACAACTCAGATAATCTGCTGAGTACTGTGGCTGTCTCTGTGCTCACCCCCTTCCTGTTGAGAGTGTCCCTGCAGGGTTCTCTTTGAATTTTCCTGCAAGGGGGGGAAAGCCCTCCAGATCCAGTCACTCACCTTTGGCCTTTGAAAAGTAGAAGAGAGGTCTGATGGCTTATTGTGAATTCTACATGTACTATGATCAGGAATTCATTCGTTTTTAGTTAACTGTTTAAAAAGATATTTGTTGCCCTGGCTGGTGTGGCTCAGTTGGCTTGACATCATCCCGTGCACTAAAAGGTTGCTGGTTTGGTTCCCTGTCAAGACACATGCCCCTCCATACCCTGTAGGGGGCGTGAAGGAGGCAGCCAATCGATGTTTCTCACATCAATGTTTCTCTCTCTCCCTCTTCCTTCCTCTTTCTCTTCCTAAAAAAAAAAAAAAGAAAAATCAATAAAAAGATTTTGTTTTCCTCTGATGGTAAAGGTAATACACGTTTATTTATAAAATAATAAAGCTGTCAATAAGAAAATCAATCATCTATAATCTCATTAAATATATATTAAGCCATTAGCACTTTGATGTTTTTTCTTTTACTTTTTTCTCTTATATACATATATACCCTGTTTCCCTGAAAATAAGACAGTGTCTTATATTAATTTTTGCTCCCAAAGATGTGCTAGGTCTTTTTTTTCGGGGATGTCTTATTTTTCCATGAAGAAAAATACGGTACACATTTATTGTTAAATGAAAATAAAGGAAATTTATTACCTGTATACAGTACGGTAGTACGGTAGTTGTCAACACAAACCAGACAAACTGTGAATCTTACAGTATCAAGAATTTACTCATTTATTCAATGACAATCATGTCATTATCTTCTGGAACATCATCATAACAATCCAATTCCTGAATTTCCTGGTGAATTTCTTGTGACTCCATTTCTTTCAGAATCAGTGGACCAAATCTCTCATGTTTGGCAATAGCACTGTCTTTAAATGAGTACTTCTTGTCAAGGTAGCCTGCTCGCAGTGCATTTGCAATGCAACTGTCAGTGATTTTCTCCCATGAATTCTTCACCCAAGTCACAACTTCTTGCAGTTTAGGTTTCACAAAGTTTCCATGCTGATTTTTCTTCATTCTATTTTCAATGCAGTCATTAATTTCCATGCGCAAATTGTCTTTGAATGGCTTGTTTATTGCAATATCAAGAGTCTGGAGATAGGCTGTCATTCCTGTGGAAATCATTATCCGATCTATTTTTCTTTCTTGAAGAAATGTCTTCATGTCTTTAGCGCGGTGAGTGCTGGCTGCATCCCAGACTAGCAGACCTCTTTGGCTCCCTCGCATAACAAGCAGCAGCATTAAATCGACCCACTTCCTTATAACTGCTTGTGTGTCCCAGGCGTTTTCAGTTTCAAGAATAAAAACGCCCAAAACACGTTCAATCTTTTCCTTCTTGCCCTTAGAAATGATTAAAGGTAGGATTTTAGTGCCATCCAGACGAATTGCCAAAATACAGGAAACGTGCACTTTCATAAGCAGTGGAGGGAATGTACACTAAGGAGGCACCCCGCTGTTCAATTGTTGTTGGAGATGCTTGGCCCATAAACACTGCAATTTCATCCATTGCAATCATGTTGGGAAGATTGTACTTAGAGAAGTCAGTATCATCAATAAAGGACTTGAATGCAAGTGCTCGCTTAATAACTTGAGAATCTTCCAACCTAAACAATGTTGTAGATCTTCTTAAAGACAGTTCACTTCACTGAAGGAAATTATCCTGCCAGTGTTGTGATGCTTTGAAGTCTTTGGGGGCTATGTCAAACTGTGGTGCCATTGCAGGGGCAAATTCTTGAATCCGAGCCCTATTCACAACCAAAGCCTTTGCTCTCCTGTCAACAACCCATTCACAGATCAGGTCTTCCAGCTCAGAAAATAATGGTTGCCAACCTGATCCACACTGTGCTTTTTAGCATTTCCCTTGTCCA